TGTGTGTGTGTGTGTGTGTGTGTGTGTGTGTGTGTGTGTGTGTGTGTATGTGTGTATGTGTCATTTTGTCACGTTATTTTGTTAGAATTTAATTTCATATTATACACATACTCTGTGTACGTTAAAGCAAAAAAAAAGATATACCATATTATTTAAATGAATATTATAAAAATGCTTTAAAAAATAATACTTCCCAATCATTAACTTAGTCTAAAATATATGTTCAACAATGACCAATTATACAAGTCATAATAGGTTCGCTCAAGCGAGCTGTAATTATGAACAAAAATTGGAATTTGCTAAGAAGTATTTGAGGGATAAACACAATTCATTTGATGCGGACAGAGCTACATGTATCAAAAATTTAGACCCGCAATGCCACTTCAAGAGGAAATGGACCTGGTGCAACACGGGCTCTACTTATCCTAGAATGGTGCTTTTGATACGTTTTATGGAAGCCGAGGAGCCTTCATGCAAACGATGCTACTCGTTACAATTAGTGCACACAACTCTAAATGCGGGAAATAATTCGTAATTAGTCCGTTTCTTCCTTTTATATGCATATATATATATATATGACCAGTCACACGAGGATGTTCCCTATTCCTGTAGCACGATGACTGCGAGAAACAAGACAGGAAGGAGTAAGATGTAGGAAGGCGATGGCCGCAGGCGAGTTGTAAGTATTATAATTTTAACGACTGAGCACTCACTACATCTACGAACAAAGCAAACTCTTCAGCAGTGAAGTTTTCAACTTGCGAAGACTGATTTGGAGGACTGGTGGTCGGTATTCTTGCCTACTCGGCTATTCGGGCGGACAATGAGGCATTTTAGTTAAAAACAAAGCGCGACAATTCACTTCTCGACTCAACAGTTTAGTTAGAAAGGGTAAATGAAATCAAAAGAGACGGCGAGAATCATATCCCAAAGCATGCAATGCAAAGATCGGCATACACTTTTGAGTTGGGTGACCATCAAAACACAGCGTATTCGAGAAGAGGTCTCATTAATGCAACATACAACGCTTAGCAAAAACAAGAATAGTTTTAGACTTGTTTGCCACAGACGGCATCTGCGAATGGAAAATCAATTTTGAATCTATGAGAACATGCTGTCACGAAATTCTTTTTTATCTACTTGCTCTTAATTGATGCTGAACTTGTAACTATAAATCGTAGCAAGTAGTTTTTACACTTACTCTGGGGGAATATTTAAGACGATTCTCGGATTGTAAATTCAAGTATCTCGCAACACATGCATTTCATGACAAATCAGAGATGTAATCATTAAAACGCTAATGGAGATGCCTTCGAAAATTCATAGCACTACCGATACTAAATATGTTTGTGAATATAATTTACTTTCATTATGAATTATCGGTTTTCAAATATTGTATTTCGTTACAAGTATTCTCAGCATCCGTTAGAGTAATTTAGATGCGAATATGAAAAACTTAATGCAATTTATTCGTGATTAATGGTTTGGTAAAAATATTTCGTATATATTTATCACTTACCCAGCTCTAGTTTCATTAAAACAATTAAAGTGAAAGTAATATTTTTCAAATAAAAATCGAACTTATGCACAGAATATAAAAATCGCTAAGAAAATAAAATAAAGTAAAATGAAAAAGCAAAAAAAACTGAATTCAATTGAATAAAAAAGATATTAAAGCTAAAAATTATTAAAGAGCTGAGTAATAAATAAACAGAGTTATATAACGCGGAGAACGTATTTTGATAATAATTTAAGAAAACAAACATACACGGTTCACATATCTGGCAAAAGTAAAGTTTCAATTATTACCTCAAACATCAAATTAAAAGTGAAATCAACGTTCCATTGCATCGCTTACGAGAAGCTCTTAGCAAATAATTATTCATTTCAACAGCATTTACCACATCTCCGATTTTCTTTTTACTCATTACTACTCAAATTTTTTATATGCAAAGATTAAGTTACTCACATAAAACAATGTGTGAAATTTTTTTTTTTAACGCTCACCTCGAGCATCCATCGATGAGATGTTATTTTGATTATGCCATAAACTTTTGCTTATATCACTTTTAACCCAATGCAATATTCGTCGCATAACATTCCAAGTACTTAACGATGTTGACTCATCGTCATCGTCATCACCATAGGGCAACTGTACATATGACGTGTTTTCATCGGCTTTCATATGAGATTCATTACTTCTTTTTAACATTATATCCGAATTAATACTAGAAGCAGTAGTAACAATGGTCTCATTAGCCAATGCTTTTATATGAATTAATTTAACAGCATACAACGTTTTTGCAGTATATAAGATCACACTTATTAAGAGCAAATTACACTTCCATGACCTTATATACTTCTGAAAAAAAAGCACAAAAATTGAATCAAATTAAAAGAAACAATAAATTAAATTAAATCTAAATGAATAATTACACTAATAAATTAGAAGAAAAGCAACACAAATATATATATTC